TGATTTTTTACTGATGTGATCTCCAAGCATATACAAACAATTTTGACGGTTTTGATCGTTGAAATTAGTTTTGGAGAATTCGTAAAATGATTGATTGACTAACACTTAGAGTTTATTTATACTTTTATTAAGTATAACATAAGATTTTGTGGTATCCACTTGTGTAAATATTTTAAATTGAAGATCGAATTCATTCATTATATTCATATAGGGTCAAGGAGTGTAGTTATAAAAAATCATCAAAATCGGAGTTAAAATAACCGTTAAATCTTGATTTTTCGTTTATAACCGTTGAAAAGCTTTGTCCCGTTACTTGATCTTTGAATGTTTTTTTTTTGTGATTTTTTGCTGATGTGATCTCCAAGCATATACAAACAATTTTGACGGTTTGGATCGTTGAAATTAGTTTTGGAGAATTCGTAAAACGATAGATTGACTAACACTTAGAGTTTATTTATACTTTTATTAAGTATAACATAAGATTTTGTGGTATCCACTTGTGTAAATATTTTAAATTGAAGATCGAATTCATTCATTATATTCATATAGGGTCAAGGAGTGTAGTTATAAAAAATCATCAAAATCGGAGTTAAAATAACCGTTAAATCGTGATTTTTCGTTTATAACCGTTGAAAAGCTTTGTCCCATTACTTGATCTTTGAATGTTTTTTTTTTGTGATTTTTTGCTGATGTGATCTCCAAGCATATACAAACAATTTTGACGGTTTGGATCGTTGAAATTAGTTTTGGAGAATTCGTAAAACGATAGATTGACTAACACTTAGAGTTTATTTATACTTTTATTAAGTATAACATAAGATTTGTGGTATCCACTTGTGTAAATATTTTAAATTGAAGATCGAATTCATTCATTGTATTCATATATGGTCAAGGAGTGTAGTTATAAAAAATCATCAAAATCGGAGTTAAAATAACCGTTAAATCTTGATTTTTCGTTTATAACCGTCGAAAAGCTTTGTCCCGTTACTTGATCTCTGAATGTTTTTTTTTTGTGATTTTTTGCTGATGTGATCTCCAAGCATATACAAACATTTTTGACGGTTTTGATCGTTGAAATTAGTTTTGGAGAATTCGTAAAATGATAGATTGACTAACACTTAGAGTTTATTTATACTTTTATTAAGTATAACATAAGATTTTGTGGTATCCACTTGTGTAAATATTTTAAATTGAAGATCGAATTCATTCATTGTATTCATATAGGGTCAAGGAGTGTAGTTATAAAAAATCATCAAAATCGGAGTTAAAATAACCGTTAAATCTTGATTTTTCGTTTATAACCGTCGAAAAGCTTTGTCCCGTTACTTGATCTCTGAATGTTTTTTTTTTGTGATTTTTTGCTGATGTGATCTCCAAGCATATACAAACAATTTTGACGGTTTTGATCGTTGAAATTAGTTTTGGAGAATTCATAAAATGATAGATTGACTAACACTTAGAGTTTATTTATACTTTTATTAAGTATAACATAAGATTTTGTGGTATCCACTTGTGTAAATATTTTAAATTGAAGATCGAATTCATTCATTGTATTCATATAGGGTCAAGGAGTGTAGTTATAAAAAATCATCAAAATCGGAGTTAAAATAACCGTTAAATCTTGATTTTTCGTTTATAACCGTTGAAAAGCTTTGTCTCGTTACTTGATCTTTGAATGTTTTTTTTTTGTGATTTTTTGCTGATGTGATCTCCAAGCATATACAAACAATTTTGACGGTTTGGATCGTTGAAATTAGTTTTGGAGAATTCGTAAAACGATAGATTGACTAACACTTAGAGTTTATTTATACTTTTATTAAGTATAACATAAGATTTTGTGGTATCCACTTGTGTAAATATTTTAAATTGAAGATCGAATTCATTCATTGTATTCATATAGGGTCAAGAAGTGTAGTTATAAAAAATTATCAAAATCGGAGTTAAAATAACCGTTAAATCGTGATTTTTCGTTTATAACCGTTGAAAAGCTTTGTCCCGTTACTTGATCTCTGAATTTTTTTTTTTGTGATTTTTTGCTGATATGATCTCCAAGCATATACAAACAATTTTGACGGTTTGGATCGTTGAAATTAGTTTTGGAGAATTCGTATGCCATCAATCAAGTTCCGTGTGTGTGTGTGTATATATATATATTTATTAAGTAGATTTAAATCTATTTATTTTGTACGTATAAATTATAATTGACTGGTACACGGAATAGTACATACATCACGTGTTCATTATAAAAATAGTGAGATATGTCATGACAGTCATGTGTGTGATAAAAAGTTAATAACTTAAAAAAAAAAAAAAATTTCTCACCACTTCTATTAATTTTCATTTTTCCCTCTCTTTTTTGTTTCCTTTTCAACTTTTTCTTATTATTTTCACTTTTCCCTCCAACATCTTTCCTTAATTCCCTCACTTTTTTGTTTTATTTTCAACTTTTCTTAACATTTTCATTTTCCCTCCATTTTTTTTTTCCAAAAAGGACGGCAAGTTGGCAAATGCATGATCATGCATATTAAATTATTAATTCATATGCATTATAATTTTTATAAAATTTAATATATATATATATATATAATATAATATAATTAGTATAGATAGACTTAATATTTTGGGGGTATAATTATTATAGTATATATAATTATTATAATTATTATAAATTTTATAGTTAATTTAATATATATATATATATATATATTTATTATAATTTTTACGGGTATAAAATTGTAAAATTAATGTATATAATTATTACAATATTTTTTTAGGGGTTATAAAATTATAAAAATAATATTTTGCTTATCGTGTATCGTGTTTACCCACGTGTATACCCGACCCGACCCGTTATCTTAATAGGTGCTTATCGGGTTACCCGATAAGACCCGATTCGTTATCGTGTCGACCCAAACACCTGTTAATTTCGTGTCGTGTCGTGTCGGGTTATCGGGTCGTGTCAGAAATTGCCAGGCCTACCTATATATACATATAAACTTGGAATCTTAGTGACTAAGCAAACCTCCTAACAACCAAGACTATAGGACTGTGGCACTCGTGATTACATTGGAGAACCGGCATAGAATGCAAGGTTGGGTTTCTATTAGAATTGGGGTGTATTCAATTGGGAATTGGAGAGATTTTTATGGAGTTTAATTGATTTGTAGAGATTTCATGTAAAATTTTAATTTAATTCCCTTTAAATCTCATGGGAAGGAGTGAGATTTGTGAATACTTAAAATACATTACAAAATCTCTCCAATTCCCTCTAATTCCTCAACTTTTTGAAATTCTTTAAAATTAAATTATAATTGAATACACTTGAAATGTTATAAACTTCTTTAAAATTCTAATTGAATACACCCAGATTTCTAAAGATTTTAATAAACTATCTTAAAATCCTGATTCAATTTCAAATAATCACTTAAAATCCTCATTGAATACCCCTAGATTCATTAAAAGAATTAAAATCCCTAAAAATCTCAATTGAATACATCCTTTAGTATGCAAATTTTACGTGTCCAAATAATTTTATTATTCTTTCTCAAAAAAAAAAAAAAAATTATTGTTGCATTATTAATTTTTATAGGTCGTTTATTTTTATGGATTCCTGTTTCCACTCATTTAATATTCAGCATTTACATTTTCTTGTAACTGTTAAGCATGTTGCATATCATATGGGACAATAAATGAGTTTAGTGTTTTATTTATCCAGTAATTGTATTAATCAGTCCGTTTTGTAACTGTATCATGTATTGTATAAGTACAGAGATTATGGTCTTTACAATTGAGATTGGAAGTTTCGCGTTGAAGGGAAAAAAAAAATTAAATCCAATATTCCAAGCTTATTGTTCTGTTTATTAGTTAATTAAATTGCCGATTCTCTGTGGTGATTGTTGAGATTTTTGTTAAGAAATAACGATAGCTATTTTATTATAATATTAGCATTAATATTTAATACAAATATCAAAGAAGATATTCGAGATTTTTATAATTATTAGTTAATTAAATTGCTGATTCTCTGTGTTAATTGTTGAGATATTTTTAGAAACAACGATGCCGATTTTATTATAATACTAAGCATTAATACAAATATCAAAGAAGACATTCAAGATTTTTATAATTATTATCTTTGTTTATTTAGAAAAAAAAAGAAGGAATATTTTGTCTAAAAAGATCACCATTTAATTTTTTTTTTCCTGAGTTTCAGAAACCTCACAACCGGCTCTGCATTCTTAATTTCTAATAACAGATCCTTAATTCTATTTACGATCAGCTGATTCTATTATATAGGTAAATACTTTCACTATTTTGGGGATTGAAAGAGATAAGGTAGAGTTTTGTCTGGCTGTTGGCCTTAGGTTTTATTAACGTTAGGTTAGAATGCATCCATGTGGTTCCACATGTAGTACGTAGTATTAATTATTACTTGTGTGCTGCAGTGTTGCAGAGATAAATTTTTCAATATGGTTGGAATTAATATGACATGATAGGAGATATATAAATTGAGAGATTTTTTTTTTTAAATATCTTTACATTTATATAATAACATACACTGTATGTTCCTCTATTCCGGTCACATTGAAAATCTCTCTGCTGCATAGCCCAAGATGTGGTGTATTTTTACTCATTACCCTTAAGTGATGTTAATGCTCGCTACCACATTTATCATCATTGGATGAGTTTAATTTAAATTTTTGTCTATCCATTAGCTACACAAATTTCAAAATTTAAATTTATCTAATAGTGATAAATTATGAGTATGCCATGTCAGCTATGCCACATAAGCAATAGCTTCAGTCTTATGCCAATGTACTTGAATTGTGGACTATAAATAGTTTTTCCTCGTATTTTAGATACGCTTGTATTGTAAAATTGATTGTGTGAAATATAGAAGATATTCATTTTCTTTCTCTTCTTGTATTTTAGACAAGATTGTATTGTAAAATTGGTTATGTAAAATATAGAACATATTCATTTCCTTTATATTCTTGTATTTTAGATAAGATTGTATTGTAAAACTGGTATGTGAAATATAGAAATTCATTTTCTTTCCCTTCAAGCTTCCCTCTACGATCTTAACTAATTGTTAAGATAAATAAGGTTCTGAGCCTCACCAACCATCACGACGACTTTGGTGAGCAACAATATTCCCCGAAATGGAGTCTATATATCCACCATCAACATCACTTCAAGGTTTCATAAGTAACAAACTATAGGCATACAGCGCTCTCTGGACTGCTGCGAGAGAGAGAGAGAGATGGAGGTGCTGCAAATACTTCACATGAACCAAGGCAATGGCGAGACTAGTTATGCTCAAAACTCTACAGTTCAGGTACACATTATTTTTTACTTCCAACAACAACATCACCCAATGATAACAAAGGACATTAGCCGAGCAGAACTAGCCAAAATCAACTAATATTGTTTTTTTTTTTTTTTTTTTTTTACATGGATCTCGATTGATTAATCTAATTATTTATTTTTTTTGTAGAGAAAAATATTATCCGTCGTAAAGCCAATCATTGATGAAGCTGTACAAAAAATGTTGTGCTCAAATATAGCACCAATTGGGAGCATGGGAATAGCTGATTTGGGTTGCTCACCTGGACCAAACACCTTACTACTCATCTCCATAATAATTGATGCCATACATGCCACAAGTTGCTCATCATCATCCACAGAGTTTAGAGTGTTTGTAAACGACCTCTTTAGCAACGACTTCAACACCATTTTTATGTCACTCCCGGCATTCTATAACCAACTGAAGGAAGAAAAAGGTGATGGATTCGGGTCTTTCTTTATCTCCGCCGTGCCAGGCTCGTTTTACGGCAGATTGTTTCCAGCCAAGAGTTTGCATTTCGTGCACTCTTCTTCTAGTCTTCATTGGCTCTCTCAGGTCCCTCCTGGGCTGGATTGCCAGGCAGCTGGCAAAGCATTGAACAAAGGAAAGATTTACATTTCTAAGACCAGCCCTCAATGCGTTTTGGAAGCATATTCGCTTCAATTTCACAAGGACTTTTTGCTATTTCTCAAGTCCAGGGCTGAAGAAATAGTAGGTGGAGGACGAATGGTGTTGTCACTCATGGGCAGGTCGTCCTCTGACCCATCAACTCAAGAGAGTTGCTACCAATGGGAACTCCTAGCTCATGCATTAATGAGCATGGTTTCAGAGGTAAATACATAGATAAATATGCAATATTTAGTTTTAAGTTTCTGTTAGTTCTCTTCATCTACTAAGAAATTTTTTCTTAGTAATTCAACTTTTTTACTACAAATTTACTGTTATTGAGAAACAATAATTCCAAGAATCAAACCTTCGAAGAAATGGCCTATCAACTATTTAAGCTGGGCGCAGTTATAGTTGATTAGGTAATAACAATTGAGTTTACATTTTTTTTTTCTTCTTTAAAATGATATTCAAGTGTGTGTTTTTATTATGAACGGAGTTTATAGACTAACTTATGAAGAATCCGTTTTTTCTCTATTAATTTTCATTAGCAATGCTAAATATATAACTTTAGTCCATGAAATTCAAAATTTTCTAATTAAAACCCAATGAAGTTTATTTTCTTGACTACAACTCAATGACTAGAATTCACCCAACCATTTTACCTAATTAAGCTCGTGTGTCATATCTTTTAGGTTCCCACAAGTACCCTCAACTATAGCAGTATTGCACTTTGTATGTTGATGTAGGAATAAAATGGAAAGAGGTTTTATTGCTTGTAACGTGTATTATTGGCATTTGAATTCTATTGATGTAGGAATAAACTTGGATGTTTTTATCTCCACAATAAATTTCAGACTTAATGCACCTATTGGTTAAAAAATAAAAATCTTATTTAAAAAAATTAAAAGACAACGTCTCTATGTCTTTTATGAGTTGCCTAAAACATGATTATATAAAACAAATTATGTGTATTACTTTCTGTTAAGAATATCAGTGTACCTGCTAAGTAATAACAGAACTAATGTACCTACATGTAAATATATATACATATATATTTATTATGTAAACGTACACATATCTCTAACACCAATAAAAATGCCTAATATATGTAGTAATACATTTACTTACAAAATATAAGAATGTTATTTGACTAAATATTAAACTAATGAATCTGCAAAATATAGGTAAATTAATTTACAATTTTTTAATTTTTTTTTGTCAGAATATATATTACTACTGGGCATATACATCTATATTGTTAATATATAATACGAATTTCCATGCAGGGTTCATTGTGTCATCAATGATTAGTGTGTGTTGTGCCATAAATTGGAAATATTTGTGATAATATGTCATTTATTTGTCTACATGGTAAGCTTATTTGAAATTTGGATTTTATTTAGATGTTTAAAATTATATGGATTTTTGTTTAAGAAACATGAGTTGCAAGGATTTTATCCCTAAACAACTTAAGTAAATGTATTAGTTTTATGTGTCCAAATAATTTTCTTATTTTTCCTAAGCATATATATTTTAGCGTGTACAAACACTAGCTTATAATTTGTTGCCTACTAACATATGGTATATGCAATGTTATAGGGTCTCATTGAAGAGGAAAAGGTTGATTCATTCAACGCTCCGTACTATGCCCCAAGTGAAGAGCAATTGAAATTTGAGTTAGAAAAAGAAGGATCATTTACAATGGACCGCCTTGAAGCCTTTGAAATTGATTGGGATGGTGGTGCAGAAATATCTGCCGTAGCTAGTGGGCAGCGAGTGGCCAAGACTGTAAGAGCTGTGGTTGAGTCGATGATTGAATCTCACTTTGGAAAAGATATCATGGATGATCTATTTCGTCGGTACGCTGAGCTCGTCGCCGATCACTTGTCAAAATCTAGAACCAAGAACATCAATTTGGTTGTTTCAGTCATTAGAAATGACTGAATTTTCTTATCTTCCCCATCTTTTTTTTTTTCCACAAATTAAAGGCTAGTTTGGTATTGCTATACTTTTTTAAAAACTTGCTTCTACTCTTTTGTGAGAATAAACTACTGCAAAATAAATTTGTTGAGTGTTTAATAAGCTTTTCTTATGAAAGTGCTTTTATTAAAATAAAAAACAGTGTATGATGGTTTGGTAAACTTTTTTTTATAAAACTACTGCGACTATGTTAAATGACTAGAAATGATATTGTGTTGAATGAGATAATAATAATTTACTAGTATTTCTGCACTCGCTCATGCGGGTGCAAAAGGCCTTTTTTACATCATGGGATCGCTACGCGTGGTGTGTAGAGTTATTTTTTCTTTTTACCTTTGTTCACACATAAAGACATTATTATAGTTACAATGTGCTAAGCGCGATGTACAATGTTTGTACTTGTCAAGAGACATTCTTTTATATTAATTTTTTTGACTAAAAATTTGTACGAACTTTTGCACCGTTAGATTTAAATTAAGATGCTGCAAACCTCTCAACCTAAAAAGAGAAAAGCACATAAACGAAATGAAGATAAACATGATGTTCATGATCAATCTCCCGTATCAAAAATGCCACAAAAAAAAAAAGGAACTTTATGTCCACATGATAGCAAAAAAAGTCACATATGAATACGCCATTTAAATTATCGTCATACTAAGTAAATAAACGGCACAAAGAGAAAACTAACCCTCAGTCTTAAAAAAAGATCACATTAAAATTGCAAACTTGAAGTCCAACTAGTCACCAACATATACAAACATATCGAATAATAAAATTAATAATATTTTAAAATTATTTCTCGCATTCCTCAAAACTAAAGAAAAACCGTGTCAACAATAAATTTAAATAACATAATAAAAATGTTAGCTATGTTATAAATTTTGTATTTAAGTGTAATTGTGTAAATCTTAGATTAGATTTGATTCTAGTTATTCTTCCCTATTATGACTTGTATTCCTTGGAGGAGAATGATTCTTCTCTCCCTTATTACTATAAATAAAGGCACTGCGTAAGGGAATAATACATCCTCTACAAACACATCTCTCTCCCTACTCTCTCTCTCTGCCGAGCGCCCCCTCTGTCCCTGTCAGATAATATAAGTCACAACAAGCTAAGAAGGAGAAAAATCAAATTTTAATCACGACAAATATAATCATATCGTGCTTGCGAGAGGATTTTTTTTACTATGGCCCCTAAAGTTATCTTGCATTAGTTATTCTTCATTGCATTTTGAAAAGACATGTTTAATGTATTACGCAAGTGATAAACTTTTTCTTTATGATGCAAGTCCTAAAAATTTGTCATGTTTTTGCTTTTACTTGCGTAAAGTAATGGTTTGTGTTACATATTAATTTTAAATGTACTTATATAAGTGGATAGTTTAACTTTCTATTTACTTTTTTCGTCATAAGACAAATTACAAAAACAAAAAAGAAGATGATTACCCATCATATTAAGTACAAAAATTCAAAAAAGTCAGTGATCCTAAATTAGATAGATACAAAATATCTTTATACACAACATTTCTTCATTTCTTGTGAAGACTCATTGGTTGTGGAGAAACCAACATCCACATACATGCTAGCCAAGGCATGTTTCTCCTCTCCCTTGAAGCTGCCTGTGCAAAGTATTACTCCATCTTTTCTTCCCTGAAACCATCTCTATTCCAAGCATTGGTAAACCAAACTTGTGACAATTCCAGTTTCTGAGTGGTAGCAATTTGAAACAAAGGGCAACCAAAGTATGCTATAGCAATGCGGATCACTTCAGTTGAAGCAAGGTGGGACTAAGAACTATTAATCCCTGCAAGCATCAGTTACATTTAAAATAAAATTTGATTTAATATATATACATTGAAAATGGAATTAGTGTCGTTTTGTATCCGATACAATACCTTAATAAAATTAAACCGTAAATAACAAAATATACATATTAGTGTACCTTAAAAACTTGATAGCCATATCTTCGCCACTCAAAATTAATGATTACATCCACCTTGCATTACATAAGTAATCAATATAAAATGGAAACCATCATATTAAAATGGACAGTGAAACTAAAATCCCCCACCTAGAACAGGAAGCTGAAAATCCACCCACCCCTTAAATTCTGCAAAATGAGTAACCATTATTTAACTAATAAATTAGTATATAAAAAAGAAGTTAATAGAAAGGCAACCTATTGTAAATACAAACAGAATGATTGCACCAAAGCCTATTAAACCAAAAGGAAATGAGGAGAATGCAGACCAAATGAATAGGACTCTGTTTCAGAAACTCATTCAATTACCTAGAAATAAAAAATGAAAATTTTATTAAATTAATTAATATAAACTCATTGGCAGAATGAACATAAAAATGAAAATTTCTACTAAATTAATTAAAATAAACTAATGCATAGGGGAACATAAACAACCTTTTGAATTAATCTAAAAGCGATACAAACTAAAAATATTAAGATTAACAGGAGGAAATTATTGAGATTGAGAGTTCAGAGTAAAAGAATAAGATTGAGAGTTGAGAAGTTATACCGAGGAAGACTCTTTGTCGATTTATCTCTCTGTTTCATCATCCGCCTTGCCCTAGTTCTCTTCTCCTTGATTTCTGCAATAAACGAAGAAATAATTTGCTATAAAAAATATATTTGTGTAATCAAATAATATGTAGCTAACCTAGTTGAGAAGAAATTGGGAATTTCGTAAGAATGAGACTCTGTGCACGTTTATCTTTTCAAATTTCTGAATTGAAATGAGATTTCTGGAAGGATATATTGGAATTCAGTTTATCAAACTGCTTTTTGCTCAACGTGGATGCAATTTTTCAATTTCCACGTTCTATTTTTTATTTGAGGGATTCATCATGTCTCTTTTTTATATTTTTTTTTTCATTTTTTTTCCCAGTAAAATGAGATATTGGCAGTTCAGTTTAATAGAAATTGTTTTTAGCTGAATGTAGGTGCAGTTTTTCAATTTTTCAATTTTTTATTTGAAGGATTCAGCACGTCACTTTTTTTTTGTTCTTTTTCCTTCATTTTTTTTTCCAATAAAACGAATTTTACAAAATCATTCTTCATTTTATTATTGTATTTTCTTATTTATATACATTTATATGGGATAATAATCTCTCTCCTATAATGGAGAAGGAGTTGGGTTAGTTGCGTTGGCCCATTTTTTCGGTGGAGTAATATTATTCATACCATATTTCTATACCACCTTAGATGATATATGATGTGGACAGTTACATCATTTGGAAAATTTGCAAAACCCAAGGAAATGAAGGAGAAAAACTTCTCGTATACCCCAATCATCATTTAATTAACTAGTTTTTATTAATTATTAGTTTATTAAATAATGAACTAAATTTAAAAATTTGATTAATTCAAATGATGTGGCTGTCCACATTAAATGCCACCTAAGGTGATATGAAAATATGGTACAAAAACATGGTATGAATATCATTACTCTTTTTGGTGAGATTTAATCTCTCCTTAGTCCAACAGGTCATCTCCTTCTTCTTTTTTTCCTTTTTTTTCTTCTAATTAATAAAACGAATTTTAGATTTTTTTTTTTACAAAATTGCCCTTGCATGTTTTCATGTATCAAATTCGGTTAGTTTTCTTTTATTTTTGTTCAAGGGGCCTTTTGGTCCAATTCTTTTTGGTGCAGTAGACGTGTTGGCTTTATAATATTAAAGATTAAAGGGATGCGATCATACCAACTCACATAAAACTCCGAAGTTAAGCGAGTTGTACTAAAAAAAAATATTAGAGATTTTTTTTTTTATTATTTTTTATAATCTCTAACGATTCAGACTTCAATTTCCCACATTTTCTGTGTTTTTTTTTTTTCGTTTGATTTGCAGATCGCAAATTGCCTTTCAATTTCCCAAATCCCAACTTCCAATTGCAGAAATCCCAAATTTCAATTGCAGAATCCCAAATTATAATTGGATATCGATGGCTTCGAAGAGAAGGCTGGAGGCGGTACGCCTTTGGAAGGAGAAGAGGGGAAGAGAGTTTTGCAGAATGAGGAGAAGAAGGTAGACGGGAGGTGTGGTTGTTGATGAGTCAATATTATACCCTATTTTAATATTAGGATTAATTTATTGGTTATTTTGGTAAGATTTGATATTTTGAATTATATTTTTAATGTAGGACATTCAACTGCTTTTTAGCATAAAGTAATCAAATGGATGAATTTGAAGTGATTTCAATTGGTGGATGTTCGTGAGTCTTTCAAGGTGATTGTATCAAAATTCCAGATTTTTTTCTAGCAAGAAGAGGGGAAGAGAGTTTTGCAGAATGAGGAGAAGAAGGTAGACGGGAGGCGTGGTGATTGATGAGTCAATATTATACCCTATTCTAATATTAGGATTAATTTATTGGTTATTTTGGTAAGATTTGGTATTTTGAATTATATTTTTAATGTAAGACATTCAACTTCTTTTTAGCATAAAGTAATCAAATGGATGAATTTGAAGTGATTTCAATTTGTGGATGTTCGTGAGTCTTTCAAGGTGGTTGTATCAAAATTCCAAATTTTTTTATAGCAACCAGTTTAATCATGGCGAAGAAAAAAGGCCCAGTGCGCAGTTTTCCATATTGACGTTTTTGGACGTTGTGGGCATTTTAGAAGTCATGATGACATATTTTGAGGTAGATTTCTTTTGAGGATTTATAGGGGATGACTTAAGCTTCTAAAAGAGAAATCCGAATTTGACTTTAAATAAGAAGCCTTTTACTTGCTAGTTTATTATTTTATTTTGTAGAAATCCGAATTTGATTTTAAATAAGAAGCTTTTTACTTGCTAGTTTGTTATTTTATTTTGTTTCCTAGTTTTTAGAAAACCTATTCTATGAATGATAGTAGATCTTGGTTCTGTTTTTCTATGTTTTTTATTGTCATTGGCATCAGTTTTTTTTTTTTTTTTTAAAACTCTTTTTGTTTTATCAAACACATTTGATGCCCTAGATTGTTTTAAATAATAAACTGTTTATTTAAAAACACCATAATCCCAAATTAACTCTTAATTATGGTCTTCCCTGTACTTTCTTAGTTATGTTGTTGGTTTGCTTTTGCACCAGAGAGGAATAAACACAGAGTTTTGAATATTAACCTTTTTTTATTATTCATGTAAAGAATCTATATGTGGGCATCTATTATTGCTTCTAATTAGTTGTATTCATGTCGTCAA